GCTCATGTAAGTACAGAAATTTGAAATCAAGCCATGCACGCTGTTGCCAGTTGTTTTAAGGCCACAGCATTTACACCTATAAATGAGAACCTTTAAAAGAATCATTATAATTATAGACAGCAGCCTTGTTACTTAATTACATCCTGGTGTAGCCTCTGCAACTCAAAAAGTTTACAGGCAGTTTAAGAACTGAGAAGTTAAATGTATTTTAAAATGTGTACACTGTAGTGCTTCTGAATAATTCTTTGCTACTACTCAGTGCCAGCTCAGAATTTCACACCCTTGAACAGATTGACTGGTTTGGCTTGTGTAATAGGTACCCTGCTATCCTGGACTACTTGGTGAGTAGGTGGAGATGGGTGCTTTTGGAAATGCCAATTGATAGCTAACCATAACAAGTCAGAGTTATGTGTGAGTTGAGAAGGTAGATCTATCTTAAGCAAAATGGATCTACTGAGATGCTTAGGAGCAACCATAAGACAAGCAAGAATGCTTTGCAGATCAGCCAAGAACAGTTACTGCAGATATTGGGAAGGTTTCTGGTAGGGGTTTTGGGGAGCAGCTGTAGGGGTGCTCATGTTTGCCACCTAAACGTTACCCAGCCCTGTGTGATGCAGTGTTGGCAGTGCAGTTGTCATAGGGGATTGTTCTTCAGGACAATATTGTGTTGCTTTTTGTGCTTTTGCTTTCTGAACAGGAAGGAAAGGCACATAAGAAGTCTAAAAAAAGGAGAATTTTAATTCAACTACATAATGTAATACCACCCTGAAAATACTCATTCCCACTGTGTCAGTTACTGAAAAAAAAAAAAAAGAACAAAAAACAAACCTATCTACTTGTGCATACTGTAACTCATTAAATAAAACTCGATGGACTTTTGCCTCTGTATTTTAGAGAAAATATAGACCAGTATCTTGTATTGTTTATGGTCCAACTTAGGTTTTCTCTCTTTTTTTTTTTTTTTTTCTGTTTTTTTTTTTTTTTTTCCTTGCCTTCCAAATTCCAACAAGACAAAGTGAATACATTTTAAATTTTTATTTACATTGTGAGCACATTTAGGGCTGTTCTCTGTACCAAGCAACATCTTTGTCTTGGAGACATTACAATACTGAGCAGTTGAGAAGCCTGAAGACAAGCTTCATTGTTAACTTAACCGTCTGACTTCTGTCAAAGTCACCTTAGCCCAGCGGGTCTTGTCAGAAATGTCTGAAATCCTTCAGGTCTCAGGAAGACGGGCTGCTTGAGATCATATAGGGCACTGCTGGCAGCACACAGCACATTCCTGGGTTTACAGGCCCTACATGATATTTCAGGCAGCTCTTGTTTCTGCGGCTATGACCTGTTGCTGAGAGTCAAGCCACTGTGTAAACAAGAAGAACTTCAAACTCACAGTGTGTTGCTTTCCAGAGCAAGTGGTCATTTGTTCCAGTTTCCCATGACCACATTACTGCTTGGGTTTGCTGTTCAGAAAAATACATCAATTTGCAGCATTAATGCTAGGCAAGAAAGAGGGGTTGGAAGTACAGACTGCATTAGTACATATTATTAAATGTGCCAAGAGGATAATGTTACCTTATCCCCAGTTTCAGCACTTTAAAATGCTCTCCTTATTAAAATGAAAAAAAAAAAAAAGTTCAAACATTCAAACTTGTGTAGCCAAAATCCAACTTAGGAAATACGTTATTTAGCTATTAGCAAGATGATCTGACTTTAAAACTCTATCCGTTATACCAATTTCTCCACCAATGCTGTTCAAAATCATTTCTTTTTCATTGAATTTATAACTCGATCCAGAAAGAAACAGGAAAAGCAATATCAGAGGGTGATTTACATTGCACTGGATTTTACTGCAACTTGGCATTGTGAATGAATCTTTGGAATACTCAAAAAGTACACAAGGAAAAAGCCAGGTTTTAATTTGCTAGAGAAAATATTCTGACATGGTGATAAGTGAGGTAACCAAAAATCATGGCTTAAAAACATTCTGAATGATTGCTGTTTCAGCTGTCCCAATCCACATGATGGTATTAAAACAGACTGGTGGTGAAGAACACTCACAACCTATTTCTACCTGGGAATATTAACTCTCACTTGCTGACTGTTACATGGAATTAATGTGGACATTTCCAGTTGTATATGAGTTAGTGCAGCTCTTGTTTTCAGAATCAAGGATTCATATTTAGTAGCATGCAATGTAAATCGGAGGCTAATATGACATCTTTAATTCACACGTAAATCTGAGGCAGCTACTCTGAAGTTAGTGAGGTTTCCTCAGATTTATCTCCATTATATCTCCATTGCTAAAAACAGAGCGCAGTGGTCTAATTTTAGATAACCTGGAATTGCCATACGTTGAAATGTGCTACCTACCCTAGTGTCTACATGAAAAAGCTCAAGCTTGTTTAAAAATAAAAATTAATTTTAATGTAGTTGAGAAGCCTTCTGAGCATGCAAATATACCACAGCCTTCACTAGTATGCCTGCTGCCATGCATAACTGCTGAGGGATGATGGTCCTTTCTCTCTGCATTACCTTTCAGACAAGTCCTGTTTACAGCACAGAAATTTTTTTTTCAGATAACGATTATGGAGCATCTAAATATTTAATACAGCTTATCATTAATGGATAGAATATAAGTTAATTTTGGTGATTGCCTTTTCCTCCAGTAGCATCAAAAGACAATAGAATCATTCCTCACCCGGGACTTGAAAAATGAGGACCATAGTGTGTTAACCACAAAGCTGATGGAAATATCCTTCCCCATCAGTATCCTGAGCACCCCTCATATTCTGCTGCAAGAAGAAAGTGGAAAGCAAGGCTGTGGGCAGGGAGCACCCCTGTTCACGGGGGATCCCTCCAGCCTCCATCTGTCCATCTGTCCAAGTGTGCTCAGACAGAGTCAGTGGCTGGGGCGGCCAAGCTCCCCAGGCCTAGCAATTAAGTATAAAAAACCTGTCTTTATCCAAACAGGCCATCTATATTTTGGAAATTTCCATCGCACTTCCTTCTGAAGTCTTACTTTTCTTAAAGTGCACACAGCAGTTTTGCCAGGATAGCAGTGGCTATTCTCCAACCATACTGAAGAACCAAGGCAGTCTATTAACTCAACATGAGTGATCCACGTCACTATTAATTTGTTTGTTCTTTATAACAGTGGACTTTTAATTTTTATTTTTTTTTCAAATTGTTAACATTTTCCAGTGCTTGTTGGAGATCAGCTGTTGTCAGTGAAAGTTTGACATGGATGACAGTGGCCGTGGGTGGCACAGACAGCATTTGGTGTTACCCCCATGTTCCTTGTAATCTGAGAGGGCTTTAGCTGCTAAGATGCTGGTGCCTTTCATTCGGGCTTTGGTCTGACATTCCTGGCATAGCTGGGATGAGGGTGGTGGGGCTGGGGTGAGCAGGGAAGGAGCAGCAGAAAGGAAAAGATTCATGGAACTCAGTGGAATGCTATGAAATCAGCAGCACCACCATCCCTGGATTCTCAGAAATCGTGATCCAGATCCTTAACAGTGAGATCAGCTTCTGAATAAAAAAGAAAGAAAAAGACATGTATAGAGAAACCCTATAACATGTAAGTCAAAGCCAGACATCAGTGTTTCATTCCGTCCAGTCACCATTTTTTTCACTTGTCATCTATTTTTTTCACTTAGGATTCACACTTTTTTTCCAATAGTTGTAAAGGTCTGAGTGTTAAAAATACTGGATTTAATTGTCTGAGGAAAAGAGTGAAGATTTTATGGAAACCACCAAATATCCTGTGACTGGTGATAAAATTGCAAGTGCTGGCAATGCTGATTAGAAAAGGATTGTTGTGGTATTAAATAAAAGTTAACATAATTCAATAAATTGAGAATTTTGTTTTCTTAGTTGAGTGTTGTCATGACTGAAAGCAATTTTTTTTTCCACCTTGTTGTGGATCTGAGGAGACAAAGTTGTGGTTAGAAACTTCTTATTCTGTTCAAGAATCAGAGAAGGAAGTCATAAGCATTAAAATGAATCATATTCTACAGGTGAATACAGTAGGCAGAAAAAGCTAAGTTGCATTTTCTACAGCCAAAGGATATCGAACTACTCTGTTTGCCAGATGTCTTAGATTTGGTGTCTGTTTAAAACTGTAATTTTGGAACATTTTATGCACATGCTTATCTTTATATCTCAGAGTAGTTTCTTTAAAGGCACATAAGTGTTAATACGTTGAGGGACAAAAACAGATTTGAGACCTCAAATGAGGTAATCAATCACAGGACATCATGGAGCAAGGTCTGATGTAAAAGGTGCTTTAAGACATAATGTTAAAATGTGTGGTTTTAAAGTAAGATTTTCAAACATACATTTTTTTTTTTGTATGCTACTTCTTTCATCCAGAAAAAGGGAAATAAAGAGGAAAGAAAGGTGAGCCAAATGTACATATTTTGTTAACTCATGTTAAGGCAAAGCTCATCCTTACAGCTGTACCCCAGCTTTGCACTCTTCAGTCAGTAGGCTTCCTTACTTCAAGTGTGCGTCCAGCTAAGAAGTCTCAAAGCAAATATGCTAATATCCATTGTTCTGTGTTCTGAGATGCCGACTGCTCGAAATTCAAACCTTCTACATCTAGTTAAGAAAAAGGGAAAACAGAGATCCTGAACAAACATATCCTCCATACTCACGGAGTCCTACAGCATTGGGATGCTGGCCTGAATACCATCTTAATACAACTTCCAGAAGCCCAGGAAGGAGTATGGTGGGCTAGTTTTAGTTAATTTCTTCCTCTGTGCGGTGGTCATGCTTCTGGCACCTGAGCCTCTGCATTGTCCCAGTTGTGCTTACATGCATCCACTGGTGACCTTACCTACTGCAGCATGGAGCACGAAATATCTCACATAATGTGTCAGTTGGGCTCCCAGGCATTACTATGCTTGTTCTAATAATTTTCCAGCTTGTTCCTCATGCAGCTTTGCTTTAGATAAATGTAGCAGCTCTTGCTGGTGGTTTTTTTTTTTTTTTTTTTACAGGCGGGTCTCCTAAATTTCGATAGTTTTCTGGACCGGAATCACAACTGCAGCTTGCTGCTGTGAGAAACAACACATTCTTTTCCTCTACTTCATTTTTTAAATAGTTTTGTTCAGGTATGGGATGTGACAGAAAAAAAGAGGGAGGGAAGAAACAACACACTGCTAGTAATTGTGACCTATAACTGGAGCTGGTGCCAGAAACTTAAACCATTATTTCTTTAAGATACGAAATGCTTTGCGTAGCCTAATGCCATGGCAGTGACCCTACTGGGTCTTTTCTGAACAAGTTAGAAAAAAAGAAACAGGCGGGTAAAGTTGTAAAAAAAAAAAAAAAAAAAAAAAAAAAAAAGGACAAAACCAGTGCTTTGAGCATAAAATTACTAAATAATAGAAATGGTATTTTCTGACTTAGATGTTTAAGAAAGGCTCATGAAAGAGATGAATATTAAGCCAAACATTTGTTTGGCTTTGCTGCAGCCGGCTGCAGGAATGTAAACTTTTTTTTCAATGACTTCAGCTCCTAATTTAAAAGCTAGGATTTTTAGCAGTGAGCAAGAGACTATATTTGGCCAAAAAATTCTGCTGGCTTTACTTAGTTACCCGGCACATTCAAAACAATACTCCTTTATCAAAAAACAATAGTCTGTTTTATTCACAGCACATGTAGAATTTGGACCATCCACCAAATTCCACTTTCTTCTCTTGCAATATGTCTGTTGCTGGCTAATGAGCTGCGACAGTGCCTGTGCTTCATTTTCAGCAAATTAAATTTATGCCTCACAGGAATTGTGGTCTGGTCATGGCACAGCTCCTAGGTACGGGTGGGGTTTGTTTCTTCAACCAGTTCTCGGTTACCCACATGGGTACGTGCTGTCGCACCACACAACAACATCTTCTCTATAATAACTGGTTTAAGTAGCCATTTTCCCCACAAAAGTGGATCCCATCTAATTTACTTTGTGTTTACAGCACTCCCTTTCAAACTGTATTGTTGGCACGGATGGGTATTTATGCAACTTTCATTTTAAACTATTTAGAATTGAGACTTCAGTAAGACTCGCTGTTGGATTTATAGAGTGTGCTTAAAACTGAGGTTCTAAAAATGATGTATTTCAAAGGGAGGAAGCAGACAATGACCTTACACAACAGGGAGCCTCTCCTCTGCCTCAGCTGGTGCTGCGGGAGCTGGGCACGCTGTGGGTGCAGGGCCACCCCTTGCAGTAGAATGTGAGCCTCTGTGTTTGTGTGATAGCACTTGAGTAAAAGCCATCTGGATCACATGGAGTAAGCTGGATGTAAAGCCAACAAGCCACGTTAGAATCACTGGCATCACAGAATGGCTTTGGTTGGAAGGGACCTCAAAGCCCATCCAGTTCCAACCCCCTGCTGTGAGTAGGGCTCTCCTACCAGCTCAGGTTGCCCAGGGCCCCATCCAACCTGGCCTTGCACATCTCCAGGGATAGGGCACCACAGCTTCTCTGGGCAGCTGTGCCAGGGTCTCACCACCTTTTTGGGTGTCTGCTCTTCCTCAGCAAAGAGAAATCTGGTGAGATGTTCCATGGCTCGTCAGTATGATCACAGATCTGATATTCACCTCTGAAGTAAATGAGAGAGAGCACGAGGAAAGAAAAGATGCCTCTTCCTCAGCTGTGGAGAACAGAGCTGATGCAAAAACAGCACTTAGAAAATCTGTTCTCCTCAAAATCAGGGATAAAAAAAAAACTCTTGCACTTTTCAGAAGGAAGTTTCAAACAAGACAAGCTTCTTCTGATGGAGAAAATATTATTTGATGAATCAATTAGAAAGAACTTTTAAAAATAGGTGAGCTGAGAATTTGTTCTCAGTGTGTTGGTTTTCCATAATTAGCAGGAGAATGAGTGGCAATATGTACATGACACAGAGAATACTTTGTGTTCACAAGCAAAACAGTACGTTTGAAAAAGGAAAAATTTTACCTAAAAAATATTTGATTAATCTTTCTTATAAAGCTGTAGTTTCTTACATCTTCCTCCTCAGTTCCCACAAAAGTCCCAGAGAACCTTTGATGTTTGCTCAGCAGGACTCCTTGCAATGTGTAGACAATGCAAAAGAGTAATGTAGGAAAAACCCATGTTAAGGATCTGACTTTCAGGCTTCATGCAAATTTCAGTAACATCCATAACATTACAATTTTAATTTCTATGATATCCCCATGAAATAATTTTTATTTTTTATTTTTTGTTTTGCCAGATATGAAAACTGGGACACAGAGAGGCGAAATGACGTAACTGCTCTATACTTGGAGTTCAGCAAGGAAACTGAAAGTAGGCATCAGCACTCCCAACTCATGGTACCACGCTGAAACTTACAAAACTCTATTTTTTCAAAAGTCCTTTTGATGATACTGCAACTAATAGCACAGTTGTACAGTGATGAATGGCAGTCCAGTACCCTTACAGACAAGTTAGTGAATGGACAGTATTGAAAAAGAATTCATAATAAGATGACAATCTTTATGGTGATGATCATATAGTAAATTGATAGCTGGATTTTATGCAAGATGTTTCATTACTTGTTTTCTAGATCTCTGCCAAGGAGACAAGTAGTACTGCATTAAACACATGGCTTGATGCCTTTCAGGAGTTAATTTACAAGATGCTCCTGCAAATTAATTTTTTTTTTTTTTTACTTTTCTTCTTTGCTTGTGTATAAGTAAAGGTGAGCTTGGGCTCACGTAATTTGGATGTTACAAAGTTTAGTTAATTTGTGTTTCTGCAGTACTTTGAGAATACAAAACCTCTTCAGAGGGCACAATCTTTTTGTTATTTATCTCACTGTCAGTTATGACTGGCCCTTCTCTCACGCTGACACCAATGGTGGTCAAATTTCTGCAGAGCAGCAAAAAGTGCTATTTAAGTGGCAGAATTTGTTTTCGAGCTTATTTTTGATTACGAAATGCTGTTTCATTTCTATTCCTTTTCTTGAGCTGCCCAGAGACTATTTCTCCATGCCAGAGATTTGGACGCATCTGTAGAGTGAAGTCCAATAGTCAAAGCTGCCAGCTTTCAAGTGGTCGCAGACAAGTCTAGGTGGCCAATGCCAGGGAAGTGTTGTTGCTGAGCATTTTCCTTATTTAGAAGTAGTACCAGATGGCCTCCAGTGCAGCGAGCCCCCAGCCCTGGGGTATTGAGCAGCACCTAGGCAGGGTGGGGGGGACACTGCCATGCAGTCTTTCAGGAAATTAATTGTGCACCAGCAGGTAATTTGTTATGAGCAGTGTGAGGAGGTTTTTTATTTTTTTAGTGGAAAGGACTTGAGTGAATGTGCTAGTGTGAAGTGATTTGTAATAACAGTACAGAAATTTCTGGAAATGCATCTGTGCATGCTGGTGTTATTGCATGCCATTTTGAACTTGCTTGTCTTCAAGGTGGTGTAAATGGTGCTTGTAGGATGAAGCTTTGCCCTAATCATCATAACAATTTTGGCAGTGATTATACATGTCTTTAAGCCCCTACAGAAATGGGCCAGTGTTGGCTCTCTTTCAAAAATAATAGGAAGCTGAATTTGCCATTTTTGCTTGCATTGCCCTGTGTGATATAGTACACAGTTTGGGATGCTGGCATCTAAAAATAGACCTGGGCTTTTTCCAGGAGAGTCAGAAAGTAGTACCCCTGTTGAAATGCCTTCCTAGAGTATAAAGGTAAACATTCAAGTAGAGCTCTTTGTACATAAATATTTTCTCGTGGAATCTAAGGGACTCAGTTCTTACAATGCCAAAAAAAAAAAAAAAAAAAAAAAAAAAAAAAAAACCAAAAAACAAAAAACAAGGAAACAGAATGGTGTGTTTCTTGCTTCCCATTTTACTTTGGGGGATTTTTGTAAGCAAGCTTTCTGCTGAACTCTGAATTTACTCAAAAGCCAACAAAAACATGTTTTAAATGATACATGCAACAATAAAAAATAAACAGTTTCCATGTAGACTTTCGATTGTTAAATTATTTTATGACAAAAGCTAGGAAGTGAAATAATTCTAAATATAGTGCATAAGAATTTTCTTATCAGTTAATTTTTTTAGAAGCTCTACACTTAAGAGCACCATAGTAACAGCTCTGCAAGCTGATTCTTCATTACAGTTATCCACCGAGAGCTTCACTGAAGACATTTCCTCTGGGATCAGAGACTAAAAATCAATTCTGATAATATTAGAACAAATTTAAAGAGCAAAAAGCCCTAGAAAATACGTGATGAATAAACAGGCAGATCTTTATTCCCTGTGTAGTCTTTTTCACCTCTTTTTTTTTTTTCTTCTTTTCTGTGCTGTAAACAGACACAGTTGGGCTGGAGACGTTCTTTCAAGGGATATTTTTTGGAAAAACGTGGAATCATGCACTCTGGGTTACAATGATGCTTAATTTACATTGGTATGTTAGTTACCAAGTTGCAATTATTGACCAAATGTGCTGTCACAGAATGTAAGGAAGGCATTGCCACCGCTGATATGGGTTATCCATGATTTGAGATGCCTGCTTAATACACAATTTCTTTGAAGACTCCAAATTGCCTTACTTCTGTTCTGCCAGAGTTCTCCTGGAACATGTTAGCCATAAAAACCCTCAGGGCTGAGTCCTGATTTTGAGCGCTGAAGCCACAAGGATCAGTGAATGCTTGTGCATCACAGTCAGTGTTGGGGCTGCATTTTGCATGGCTTTGCAGCCTCTGCAGCCATGTGGACAAACTTGTTCCAACCTCGTGCTTGGGTTTAACTCACCACATTCATTCAGTGAAGGCTTAGGCTATCCTTATTGTGTTTTATCAGCAATTAAACAGTGCATAGGGTGCCCCAGGCAGGCTGGAGACTGGTATTACTGGAGGGGTGCCAGCAGAGGTGTTGCTCTCCGCACTACTCTGTCATCACTGCAGCTCTGGTTCTGCACCACAACGGCAGTGCACTAGGCAAAATAACCTGAATTCTCACCTTTCCTTAAGGAAACAGCTCAGGATAAACAAACTCTATGGTTCTAGGTACTGCCACACCTGTGGGCTCTTGTGCTGGGAAAAAAAAAAAAAAAAAAAAAAAAAAAAAAAAAGGATGTCTATGGAAAACAAGAGGTACAAGAGGTTGACTCATTGCTTTTTGTGACTTTTGGATATTGTCTTCATCCTGCCTCATACATTTAGTCCATATTGCAAGCAAAGACTGGCCCTGGCACTGCATGGGGTGTTCGGTATTGCTTCTATGCTTCTGCCACATGTTTCTCAGAGGCTGTTTTTGGGAAATGCAGCACCAAAAGCGTCCTTAACCAAAGCATGTCCCACACCCGGAGAGGAGAAATGGACAGGCAGTGTCGGCATTTCTGAGAGCAAATCTGCAGGAACAAAGGAGATAATTGTCACTTGTCTCACTTTCTCCTAAATTCTCCTTGCTTTGCTATTTAACACTGTTTTCTCTGAAGGCAAAATGAAATGCAGCCTCCTTGAACTTAGTTGATTTAGCAGCTGGAAGGTGAGGTGAGAGTGAGGCAGAGTATGGAAATGCTGTGCTGTGGGCACCACTGGTCTGCAGGACATGGGCATAAATGGTCTGCATCCCATTCCCCACATTCCCATGTTTCGTCTGCACCACTGCAAGCGCTGTGGTGCCTAAGCTTAAGAGTGCCGTATGTATTTCAGGACTCCTGGCTCCGTGCGAGGCAATGGTCTATACCAAACCTAAGTGTTGCAACATGATGTTGAAATCATATAGCTGAAAAATACTGACCTCAACAGAACCCAAAGGAAGTGAGGCATTAGATACGCACTCATGCAAAATGCTCCACCATGATGCAGGTGCTGGTGGCCTAAGGTACCAAGCAGCCTTTGAAGCAGCTGCTATTTAGGGCCTGTGATATCAACAGTCTTTACTTTCATGGGCAATAGTCAAGCAAAGAGCTGATAAAACCAAATGAGTGGAAGAGTGTTATGAAATATGGTTGGATTACACTTTTGTCTAGTTTGCCCTTTTAGCAAATGTTTATATGATAATTCCCTCGTGACTAGAGGAAATTGTGAATTTTGTGTTGGAATTTGAGCGAAAGTGAGCACATGTGGGTGTACACTCGAAAGACAGAAGAAACAGGATGGACCATCAGACATCACAGGCTAAGAATGGAGAAAAAGTGAGGGGAGTTAGAAAAAGGAGAACACAAAGGGTTCAAGTGTTGAGGAGACATTCTGAGATGAGGAAACCTTTAAAATGATAGCATAAAGTTATAAAGTGGTTGTATACCAAATTTAGAACCTGGGAAAAAGGAAGTTACATATGCCACACAGAATTTTATTTCAATATTATGTTGTGTTGGCCGGAGCAGTTCAAGACCAGATTAGCCTCTATCAGACGTAACAATAATGTTTCCCGATTATTAATCATTATTTTCCAGGATATTCTTTTGTAGTCTCTCTCACCTGGAGAACTCAAACACTCCTGTTATTAAAATCAGGGATAGATGAAGATTCAGAACTTTCCTAAGACAAAGGGCAGTAAATACTGACAAACAGGTGTATACAAGTAAGGGAAATGAAAGAATAGTGAGTTGTGGAATTGCCCATAGTTACTGTTCTTTGCTTTTAATTCCATTTTTAGCTCTCAACAAAATAAAGGTGTTGTGATATCTGATGTGAGCTCAGAAGGATGTTTAAGTAATGTTATTTTGAGGCACATCTTCAGGACATGCAGCTGAGAACCCTGTGCAATTGTCCAGCACGATACACAAGGAATTGGTAATTTCTGGGCAGCACAAAACTTACCAGGGGCAGAACAGTGTCAGCGCTTTCACCACAAAATCATCATTGTTAAGCAGACAGAGAAAATGTCTGAGTCATTTGAGTCTGAGGGAGTGGCAACCATACAAGATGGAAAAAGAAAAAAAGAGTATTTCCAACCATTTTCTTGGTTAGAAACATGAATAAAATTAGTGCCAAAGAAAATGGAAATTTGCCATTTTGACAACTCATCACATGATTTTAAAACATCTTGAAAAGAAAAGCCAGCATTGGCTCTCTTCACAATCCAAGCCTACAGAATACAAAACCTTCAGAGAATGCCACGAAGCTTCTTGGTGATCTTTGGGCCAGTGTGAGTTTGCTGCGCTTTTGAGATGGAGCCCAGGCAAAAATTTTACTCCAAAGCAGTCTGTGAATTTGATCTACAGCCCTCAGCAGCGAAAAAGTGCCATTTGTTCCTTCCTGATGACCAGTGTGTGCTGGGTAAAAGCAGAATGGTGAGCTGCACAGAGGGACACACAGATTTGTGGAGCTGTATAGGGTCAACTGGTGCTCAGAGAAACAG